CACAGGTACGGGGTTTTTCCTGTGATACACCGAGACAGAACTTCACATGTAGAGTGGCTCCAGCTATCAGCAGCTGTCAGGGGCTCTGCAGAACACTGGCAGGGCAGGAGGAGGAAATTTCTCAGGACAGCTAAGAACATGTTTCTGCTTGTTGGGGGTTTTTTTTTTTTTTTTTTTTTTTCCCTGTTGTTTCCACTGGAGCCTGTTTTCAGGGAGCCATGGGTGGGGGCTCCCTGTGCGTGACGTTACATGCCACCACCCTGACTGGAAAGGTGACAGGGCTCAGAGCATGTAGGCACATGTAAAGTGTCTCATCCCCTCTGTTTCGAAAGGAACAGGGCAGGTCTGAAGCAGGCTGGGCAGGGTTTAAGCCCTTGCTTGTGGCCGGCTCTGTGGCATTGTCACCAAGGCATGTGGCTTGCTCAGAGAGGCGTCAGCAGCAGCAGCACCGGTCTGTCCTCTGGAAGGGGCCCGGCTGTCGCCCCACGTACATCAGGTTTGGCAACTCAGGACGTTTACGTGCGCACAGCGCGTGCAGGTTCTGCTCAGCGGGTGCCTTGTGTTCATCCGTTTCCTAACAGCAGCAGGTGTCTCATGCTGTTGCTCATTGTTCTCATTTCACACCCACTGCGCTGCCTCTGGATCCTGTCTGCAAAGTAAACACGCCGCGGTTTAAGCAGTCAGCTTTATTTTTTTTTTCCATGATCACATCCATCCTCTTCTAGACTTCAGAAGGAAACGTGATTTACACTGAGGGATGCAAATGAAACCGAAAGGAGCCCTTCCTCCCTCCCCACTCAGGGATACGGGAGGGGAGACGCTGCATCGCCAATGACATGCGACACCGCAGGGACTCGAGGAGGTGGCACAACCCCCAGCTGCGTTTCCTGCGCCGGTGGCAGCAGCCAGCACAACGAGTGGGGCTGGGGCTGCGCGAGGGAACCCCCAAGAGCTTTGCAGGGAGAACCGCCGCTGCCTGGCCTCGCGGGCTGGGGGGTAAGGGAGGTTATCCTGGAGACCTGACGCTACGTGACACGGTTTAGTACCTAAATGAAATAACTGAGAATGTCTTTCATGTCTGTATGTGCTAGAAAAACCAAACAGATTTTCCCCCAATTAACTGTTTAAAGATTTGAGAGCAAAAAAGGGGTAAAGGAGGTGGAGCAGCCCAAGCTGCCTGTGTGTGAAATGTCATTTTCCGGAGCAGAGCCGTACATTCCTCTGTTGTTGAAGACGTCATTGTTTGTTCTCTGCAGGTGCCGTTTGCGGGGGCTGGCTTGCACAGTGGCTGTGCGTAACCTCTCTCCTTTTCCATCCCCACAGGCACTAGCAGCAGGTGGACTGGGTTCCATAGTAAGAGTTCTCACAGCAAGAAAGACTGTTTAAAAGATTATTAACCTGAACCAAGATGACGCTTGGTTTTGGACTCAGAAGAAGGAATTAGCTGAAGGGACACTGGTCCGTCTGTATTAGAGATTGCAATCTACTGAAATACCACGGAAACCTCCTCTGGGAATGCTTTGAACCTTAAAGGTGGGGAAGAGTAAAGGTATTCCTGCACAATCTGACTCTCGAGGACAGGAGCCAAGACGTGCTCCTGCTCCCTTCTTTAAAAGGCAGGGAGAGGGCACGCTCCTGCCTCCTCCTGTCACTGAACAGGGATTTTCAGATGCTGCTTTAATGGGACTGTGGTGATAAGAGATCCCGTGTGTACTGCTGGCTTAAGAGGTAGTTCTGTCCTTGGCAGATGCAGAATCCTGACAGCTTTGGGCAGGAGAATGTTTCTTGGAATGGGTCGAAGGATTCAGTGAACTACGGGGTTGGTTTCATTGTGAAGTGCCTGCTGCATCAATAAAGTTCTTGGATCACAGGTTAAGTCATTTACTTTTTGCTCAATCTAAGTCTGACACTTACTGGCCAGCAATACAGCAGTTCTAAACTCAGTGCCCACCTTTGCTGAGTGCTCTTAACTCCGACTATTTACGGAACTGCTCCTCAGATCCAGCTCTGCTGGCTGCAGGGAGGGAGACTGAGCTCAGCTGTTCCCATCAAGGCTTCTGAGATGCAGTGACTATAATACATAATCACCCGTAGTTTGATTTTTGTATTCTTGTCCATCCTAGAAAGTCAAGAAAATACTTCAGAACCTTTAAACTTATTTATGTGTGAGTGCATCCTCACCTTCTGACAGACTTCAGTACAGCAAAGTGAGCTGCTCCCTCTGAGTCAGGATGGGCAGATGGCTTATCCTTGGTTTGGTCCAGACAGGAGGACACAACTACAGCTGCAGCACCCTTGGCAAGAGCGGGGGTTGTTCAGTGTCCCCCAGGGCTGGGCTGGCAGGTGATCAGCCTTTTGGCACGAGCGAGCTGCTCAGGGAGGCCCAGCTCCATTCAGGGTTTTATCAGTTGCTAAAAGCGCAGCAGCAGCTGTCCCTGGGGAGAGCTGATGGCAGGAGGCAGCAGCACTCTGCTCACTGCTGGCCTCACTCCCTGCGAGAGGGGGGCCTTAGGGCCATGGCCCACCCCCCTTCTCACCCTGGGCAGAGGGGGGTTTTGTTTCATGCTTTAAAATCCTCTCAATTTTAAACAGCTATAGCATCCCAGTGGAGATAACCGCAACTATAAAGATAAGAAAAAAAAAAAAATCAAGATAAGGGCTTTGATCCAAAATGTATTGCACCACAAATGTCATAGTGTTCCATAATACAATCCGTATTTACAGCACAGGAGGAAAGAAATCCAATGGCCATAGAAAGGATTACGTATACCACTGTTCTGTACAAGGGAAAGTGCATTAGCTTTTAAATATATGTCTACACACCCTTCTCGGTCTGGTATCTAGAGAAAATTCCACACTTCAGAACTAGTTTATGGAGGTTGATCCTGTATGAGCTTTGGGATCTTAAGCTGATGTTGTGTTAGTGAATATGTCATCTACGATCTTACGCTGTTGCTCTTCACTCCAAGCTGCCTGTGCTGCTTTTCCTGCTGTTCAGCAGTAACCTTTCCAGCCAGGATCAACATAAACCCATCAGTCATTCAGCAGGCGTCAGCGGGAGGTCCCACAGGAACAGGCCAGGGCAAAGGGACACTCCACAGAAAAAGATCTGTGCAGAACCGACAGGGCTATCCTGCCCCGGCTTTGTTTCAGTACAGGAACCATTGATACAAACCCACTTTCTGATTGTCTGTTTTCATCAGAGCAGAGCTGTGCTCGTCCCTACATTATCACTAACTGCCACGGATCCGGGGTTTGGACACGCTTTAGCGTACTAAAAAAAGCCTGTTGGTTTTCTTAACTTTAAATAAATATAACCTAGCTCTAAACTGAGGAGTGGCACTTGTGCCAAGGTAACAGCTACGGTGAGGACCTGGGGCTGGGACAGGGCTGATTAGCAGCACGGGGAGGTCAGCTGGGGCACAGATCTCTGCAGCATGTTCACCACTCTAGTCACTGACCTCACAGGGAAGGATCGTTACCACAGCACAAGTGTGCACGGAACCAGCTCACGGCTCGACAGCCACCACCAACATCACTCTGACCCCTGTCTTGCAGCAAAGCAAAGTTAAAACCTGAACAGGGTCTGTATCTCCACTAGAGGACAAGCTGAATTTTCTTGAATATATTTAATAAAAGTGTTGTTAGTAACACAAACCTCAGTGTAAGAGAATTACCAGAATTGCAGCCTGCAAATTCTGTACGTATGTAGTTTTTTGAAAATATGTCCCATTTTTAAGAAGTTAGGCTCACTGCTGCTTCCCATTTTCATCTAGATGTCGCAGTGGTGTTAATAACTACAGGCAAAACTGTGCTGCCACTCCGTGAGGCAAGTGCCACCTTGGTCCCCTTTCTTAAGGGGAAGGAAAGCAAGCTGCTGGAACCAACATTTATTCATTAAGAGTGAATTTTGCCCTCAGAAACAAAAAGCTCATGAGCAGCCTTTCTTTTACCATGTAGTTAGGACACTACACGTTCATAACAGTTCTTAAGCATCAGGATTTGAAGTACAGAAAACCACAACTGAAGAGGCAGATGCTGTTACGAGGATTTGTTGCTAGCAGACTTGGAGGAAAAAAATTAAAATCAAAGCGTTTAGTACCAACATTCTTCACCCTTTGTCATTAGTTTTTTTTTTTAAATAAAAGGTATTCTCAGTGTGCATTTACAATACCTGGAATTCAGCTTTAAAAATTTAAAATGGTTTACTGTCCCTTCTTCCCAATGCTAACAACCTATGGTACAGACTAATAGATCAGTTTTAAAGGCGACTGAGTATTAGGTACTGTAATTAAGACCATTTTAAATATTATTTTTCTTTAAGAAAAGTAAAACTGGACAACTCTAAAGTTGTGCTCTCAAATTAAATAATCATCAACATGCAGCCTTCAGGACTGCAGGCCAGGATATACGCACCTTAAATTACACAGTGATACGAAAAAATGCGAACTATTAGTTATGTCAGTATAACAAGGCAAGGCAGATTTCTTTTTTGGTTAAAGCTCCTGCTCCTGTTCTTTGAAAGGCTTTTCAAACTGTCAGAAACTCAATCCAGCACTGCCAGCGGTTCTTCCCATTGCTTGCTTCCCACAGCGAGACCAGGAGGCTCCACTGTGCCTGGAGGGAACTCCAGCGCTCCGTGACCGAAGCCGGAGTCACCAGCAGGACAGATGCGCGTGTCAGAAGCCTGCACTGCCAGCACCAGTGTTAGTGAGGTTAACATCACCCTTTGGTGCCAGGAAAACAAGATGGATGAGCACAAGGAGCTGACTTCCATCAAGAGACCACGGAGACAATGGTCCTCGACCAGCCCAGAAGAGGTGGTTCAGTTTGTAGTGGAAATTTCTCCTTGCACAGTATTAGTTTTGTAAACAGTGTCAAAAGTTCTTGTACAAAATACTGCAATGACAGTGATTAAGACACACCTGAATTAGTGTGTTCAGCGTTCTTTTCACAGAAAAAAAAGTGGCTAGATGCTGACTGCCCATTTTCAGGTTCCCTTAAGGCCACAGTGTCCTTGGGCTCGAGATAGATGGCCGGATACTGCCTTTGGGAGATGGCTTTGACCCAAACCATGACATCTAGGACAGGAAAGCAAAACACACATTATGCTAGGCTCACACTTTCAAAAAGCTGAAGATTTGAAAAAGAAAGAATATGGTACATGCACATCTCCCCATCCTTTGATGAAAAGAACTATTTCTAAAACAACACTTCAGACTGAAGAAGGGAAGATAGTTTCACACAATCAGATCTGGAAGAAACAGCATTAATTTGCCACAAGTGAAGATGGCTGAAGATTACACTTACATATATCCCTTTAAAATAATTACAGGTTACAAATCTTCAGCCATTTCAACACAGTACCCTTAGTCAATCCAGTGTTAAACTGTTCCCTGAACAAGACAGCAAGGAAATCTCCCTCCGCTGCAATCAAACGCAGACTGAACACGTCCAGTTTACTGAGTGCGTGGAGGTGAATGCAGGACATGGAAGGAACTGGGGCAGCACTCATTTATGAACATTCACCAACAACCAGGGATATACAGGAGATCTCATTTTATGCACTGGAAAGGAGAAACAGATCTAAGCCCAGTGTCAAGACGACAAACCAAGAATTCAGCTTCCTGCTTTTAAACATTTCACTGTGCTCCAGCAAGAAGCTTCCAGCTTCCCTCCACAGACTGAGCCCCTGGGCAACACTGTGCTGTTACTCCTTCTCTGACGCACTGAAAAGTCTTCCCATCACAGAAATGGACAATTTCTGACATGTATGTATGTAATTAGCTACCATTTCAATGATAAATTACATTTATTATTATAGCTAACATTTGGAAGAGATACTTTTCGTCATCTCCCAGCAACTAAGAATTTCCATTCTGTCTGCTGGAGTCCTGGGAGAACCTACAAGTGGAACAGAACCCTTACCTTGTACTCCAAAGTTTCTTTGAGCATGTTTTCTTCCTCTTGTGAAAAATTCAGTAACACAGATACAGCTTTAATTAGATGGAATGCCTGAAAGAAACCAGAGTATTTTGTTGCTTATTAGCTCTTGAGCTCTACATTCTGGACTCTGGTGCAGCAGTTCTTCTGTAGGTTTGGTCACAGACTTTTAGTCACAACTGTAAAGAGCAGACCAGCACCTTCCGTTATCCCCAGTTCCAATAGACTAGCACGGCCTGTGTCTTAGGTCTTCAGTTTGTGTTCCTGGCTTTCTGTTGTTTATGATTAGTTTGCATATTTTGGGGGAAGAAGACAAATGAGGAGCCTAGTCAGTTAGAACAGGTAAGAAGGTTGGCTCCTATGGTTTGTAAGCTTTGAAAAGTTTATCAAACCAGCACGTAGGCAGGAAAGAATCACGCTGTTTTAAATATACACTTCAGCATAGTAACTCTATAGTACTGATATTCTAAACGGGACACATAATGCAGAGTTAGTAAAGGAGTCAAGCACTCGGGATACCATGGAGTTGCACAATTATTTCTTGCTCTTGCCCCCTGAGTTGCCATTAAGCAAAGTATATTATTGGCATGACTTTACCTTTAATTTTTTGACACCATGTGGAGAATATGACGGAGCTCCAAATACACAAGGAATTACCTCTTACAGATCAACAGCAAGTGGTTTATGTATTTTTCTTGGGGGTTTTTTTCCATCTTTCTTAAATGTACAACCACACTACTCTACACACTCCATATGCTTTTTAGAGTAGTGCAGAGGGAATGTCTTATAGCTTCAGATCTTTAACTTCCAGACATAACTACCTCTTAAAAAATTCACATTTCCCTTTCATTTAGTTCATAATAATCTAAAACACAAACATATCACTGTTAGCCATTTTGCTTCATTGTGCTGAATCACTCAACAACTTTCGAGTGTAGAAGTACGGAACTGACACAGAAGTGTCCTTAGCAGGTAAGAGGTGGCAGTTCCTAGAGGAAGACAGACTTAGAAAGAGAAGCTACGTGTACATCTTTACCTCAGATTCCCGGCAGGACATGAATTTTAGTACAACATGCTTAAGGTATTCGAAGTTTATCTCCCTGGAGTCATTTAAATCAGAGTTATTCGTGACAGTCACAGAAGCATTAGGCACTTCAGAATTTGCTTTTTCACGTACTTCAGGTACCTCACCGTCAGGCCTTATTTTCTAAAAAAAGAAAGAGAGAAGTACATTGGAGACTCAGTCAGCTTGACACTGGGAGAGGATCCAGGTCCGAGACCCCTAACACAGAGGGCTTGCATCCACAAGTTAGGTACAACCAGGGCATCAACAGGACAAGCTTCTCATCCTTCATGGGATCACAGTGGGGAAGCGGCTTCACCTCTCCCTAGACTCTAGGGGAGAAGCTAGCTGCTGTTAGCGTTACGTGCACGTTACCCAAACCAACACGGAACTGGCTCCACGGCAGAAACTGTCACCTGATAATTTCCTTTTATCGCTAACCTGCTCTGTGCCTTTCAAACGTGGGCTTTCTCCAAAACAATTTTCAAGCTCAGAAAAATAACATCAGAATATTTTAAAACAGCTGTTATTTTTTTTTAAATAATTTTTTTCTTGGAGAGGAAAACTATTGTAGCAGGGATTAAAAGGGAGCTTTCCCTGGGGCAGATATCACTCCCACAGTAAAACTTAGCTGAATGGCAGCTAAGCAGCAATTAAACCTCAGTTGACCCTTACCAACTCTTTCTGGAGGGTCTTCTTGAGCTCTGCCATTCTCTGCTGTAGCTGCTTTATCATCTGTAAGCAGAGCAAAGGATAGTGTTAATGCAGTATTCATTGTCAGGACACATTCTGACCCACAGAGACACGGAAAAACCCAGGACAAACAAGTGTAATTAATGAAACAATCATTAAACAACACTGACAGCTCTGGAGAAGCAGCCTGAATGTCTCGCCTTTCTAGCTGCACACATTAGCAGGCATGTGACAGGATACTTGGGCTTTCATGTGACAGCACAGTGGAAGTGAACTGAATTCACACAAAAGGGCTCTGCAGGAAAGCTGTAAACGCTATAATTTGGTGCATCTTTCCTCTAAAATTGGTAAAGATTCCTACAATTCTGGCTGCGGTTTTTATCCACTGTTGCTAGATCCTTGTGCAATCCAGAGGAAAAAAAAATTCACTCACAGAATACTGGATTCAGATTGGACGTGCCACTTTGGGAAGCCTGTCCTTCCAAGGCTGCAGCATGGGCAGCACCAATTATTAGGCTTCCTAATTAAACGGGGAAAGACTAACAGGTATTTCTGCTGTTTCAGTTCACCTTGTTTTTCTCAGCAATTTGCTGCTCCAGCTCTCTGTTATCCTTCTGAAGCTGAATGATGTCTGTAGCTGCTACCTCTCCATTCTGTTCCACCACTCGGTTGTCTGGAGAATGTACATGCTCATTGTTCAAGGCTCTCGTTGATTCCTCTAGTTCTGAAACCTACAAAAATGAAGAGAGTGAATTGGAGAGAGATCATGACTTTTGCAGCCCATGAACACTTCCCAAGGAGAAAGTCAGACTTCTTTTTGGTTATTGGCTGCACTCACATTTTTCTCATGTTCTCTGGCCAGCAGGCACTCCTGGATCTGCAACTTCAGTTCATCAATTTCCTTTCTTGCCATTTCTTCTTTCTCCACCGCTTGGCTATTACTTGCTTCTACGTCAGATTGCAACTGATGCATTTGCAGCAGGACAGCTTCATGATCTGAGAAAGGAGAGACCTGCTTAGTATCAGTCTACTGAATCAAATGGGAGTTGCTAATTATTTTTCTTAAATGAACCAAGTTACAGTGACAGTAAATCCTGATCTTTTTGCCTTGCTCTGTCATAAAGGCAGAAAGACGATGGAACTTAAGACACCCAAGCTCACATGCATGTTTTTGCAAAGGAGCAGCCCATCTGAAAGTCAAGGTGATTTTAGTACTTAACATAATTATCAATTCTACCTGATCTAGAAAACACCCATCGAAAGTCTGACTTGTGCTGCGACTGCACAGGAACACTTGGGGCTCAGCCCAAATGGCTCCTGACACATGGCTAGCCAACAGAACGGTGCAACAAGAGCCTACAGGTTTGTCCCCTTTCTAAATAACGGCAACACAGCAAGATTTGTTATTTTATAGTGTATAGACGTAAGACCTTGATTTTAAAAAGTGGTTTTGTTTCTAAGGATGCAGTAGAGAGACTGTTTGATTGTTACAGAAGGATACAAGATTTTGAAAATTCTAATAGATTAAGTGTGGAAGAGAAATCTAGAATTATTGCAATCTATAGACAGGCAAGCCCAGAACTAGAGACTGTACTTCAATAAAGCTGTCTGGGATACGGCAGATTCATTTGGTCTAACCTTGACTGAGCTGGTTTAGTTCTTCTTTCTGTTTTAGAAGCACATCACCTTTTTCATCAATCAGCTGGTCTTTTTCCTTTATTAACGAGGCCAGATGTGAAACCTTCAAAGCAGGCAAACAAACAAACAGAAATCATTAAACATATAAAACCAGATGAGGGTGTTGAAAGATTTCAACGTAGCTCTGAGGTTCAGATTTTTTTTTTCCTGTGGGAAGAATTTTTGACAAAGGCAGTGGCTGCCTCAGCTCTGTGCTCAGCAATACACCATCTTGAAAAAGCAGTTTGTGCAGCATTAGCATTACAGGTAACATGATGTGGATGTTCGCTCTATCCAGAGATGTACAGAAGGCATCACCTGTGCAATGCTGACCTCATTAAAAAGCACTGAAGCCAATGTGCTTTAAGAGCTCCACACTTTGCTTCTGACAAACTCGGTGCCACAATTACTGATTGCCTGACAACCAGCAGGTGGCAGCTGTAAAACAGCTGCTGAGCAAAACCAAAGATCACCTTACACCCCTTTTACACACAGCTGGGCCAAGCACGCACAGACCTGCAACACTCCCAGAAGAATAAATAAACCAAAAGATGGGACTAAATTCAAACTTAATGTTGGCAATTCCCAGCTCAAGCAAACATGAGCTTAACATTACACCTTGACCACTTTTACCAAAAGAAGTAAAAAAAGAGCAAACCAAGACTAGCTAGAATTTCCATTTGGTTACTGGATACAACAGTGGAATAACGCACAGAAGTTGATGACATTCTTGTGCAGGCATTTACACAGGCACTCTTAAGTTTCAAGCTTACTGAGGCCACCACTGCTGTCCTGCATGCTGAGGGTATGGTTCTGATTAATGTTCCTGACTGTTACAACACTTAAGTACAAATCTAGTCTGGTCAGTGAAAGGTGGGGAGCACCCAAAAAATACTTTTTAGACTGTTGGTATGAACCAACCTGCTGTTGTAACTCCTCTCTTTGTTTTCGTGTTTCTTCCAATGCTTTGGCAATTTCGATGCTGACAGTCTCTCTGCTGCTCAGTTCATTCTGCAAACCAAAAATAATTCAGAGATTACTCAAGACGACTAAAATCAAGTCAGGCTCTCATCTTGAAATGCAAATCCAGTAGCAGCTACAATTTACGGGTGTTCTAACACACAATGGTTTACACTTCCACATGAGTTACTGTTTTGTTTTACTGCACTGCTGCTATCTGCACATGTAAGAGCAACACAGAATGACGTAAGACGCCAAATGTATCTAATGCTAAAAAGATCTTTTAGCTTGAAGTCTTTATTACAAAGTAGTTCCTTCCTACAACTGATCTTTATTACAATTGTGCAACCACGAGTAGCTACAGGAAAAAAAAAAAAACTGTCAACAATCTAAAATTACAGTCAAAAGACTAAGTATAAGCTTTAAATACCTGACCAACTTAAGTTTTAACTTTTGTTTTGAATGTTATGAGTGGAATTTGATGTTGAACGATTCTGTATTCATTACTGCTAACAGGATTTAAAAGCTCTTCATGCCTGACAATACGGGAATGCATTATTTCTGCCTGATTTAGGCAGACCCAAGCATTCTGTTTCAGAAAAGGATCAGCCATTTGTAACGCTCCTCAAATGCATTTCTACCGAGTACCAAAGATGATTTACAGCTGTAAGCACACACAAACCGAATGTAATGAGAGTCCAAGCATTGAGAATGTAATACACTTTGCCCTCAACCGTGTCTCAAACTAGGCTCTGTATTTAACCGTCACTGGCCAACTAAGCCCTTACCTTTAGCCTGTTCAGTTCAGACTCTTGTCTTTTTAAGGAGCTCTCATACTCTTCTCTGCTTCCACTAAGATTTTCATTTTCCTTTTCCAACTGGCTCTGTAAAATAAAGATTGGTTAAACACTAAATACAGCTATTCTAATGCTTTAACAATTAAATGCATCAAATGCTTTGTTCATATTTAGTTCCTCAAAGTGAGAGATCTTCTACTATAATGCTAGGAGCACTGAATAAGAACATTCAGACAAGGTCTGCAAGCCATGTTACAATCATTTTGTGAAGACTCCCATGGCCCACTGAACAGTTTCGGTACTTACGATCCTGTGCTGAGCAGCTGTTTTATCAAACTCCCAAGCCTTCTCAAGCGCAGCAATCTGAGACTCCAGCCCAGTCACTTTCTGATCGTACTGATGTTTCTCATCTAAAATCTGTTGCTGTAGTTTACTTCTTTCATCCTCTAGATCAGCTTGCTTAAGAGAAATAAAGAACACTACATCAATAAAATGGTATTTTGAAGCTCTGACAAGAATCAGACACCATTCCACGAGGCATCTACTCAGACTGAAGCAACACTGTTCCTTGGGCAGCAGCATCATGTACTCATATACAGGGACTAGTTTAGGGGACAAACAGCAAGAGAACACTCGAGGAACGAAACAATCATGGAGAAATTAGTGTCTCTGGGGATGCTGCTGATCTGGTACTGGTCAATGAAACATCATGCAGCATACTCACCAGCTTCTGGATCTCCAGATTCTGCTCAGCAGCTGCTTCTTTGCTCTCTTTCAATGCTTCTGTTGCAATCCGTAGTTTTTGTTCCAGTTCTTTATTCTAAAATATAACTATACATTAAATTCCTTATCCATTGGCATCTATATTATAATAAAAAAAGCGTATAGAATGTGGGATGACCCAGTAGGGGAAGGTAAACATTAAAACCAGGAAACCACACAGTTCAGAGAGACTGCCCACTTCACACATGCTGCTCTTAAAAACTCTTCACCACGCCACTACCCCAGCAACGCTTCCACTTCAGCTATTTGTTTCTTAGGACAGGGAAGAGATGCATGGAATCTCTAACTTCATAACCTCCAGGCCCTTCTCCACCACCGAAGATGGGGAGATGGAGAGACGTTGATCAATTAGACTTTCTTTTCAAGGCTGTGACTTGTAGTCTCACCTTTGGCTGAGAGCACAAGTGCAGTGAGGGGAAGAGCTACAGGGCATAAAGAGGCTGGAAACAGTGGGAATTTGTAGTGATGAAAAACACGGACCTGTGTTTCCAATCGGTTCACAGTCTCAGTGTGATGTGTTCTGTCTATTAGTATCTGCTGCCTGGTTTCATCCAGTTTCTGCTCAAGAGAGGCTTTCTGAAGATTACATCAAGATGAAGAACAAGAGGAAGGATGGACAAAGATAATTAATATTTTCCTTTATATTTTGTTAATAATGTGAAACTAAAAGTGAACAGTTATATTGATGCACAATACAGCTTTGCTCTTGGGAACCAGCAAGTTTGATGCTACTGCAGAGGGCTCCATAGATCATGTTGCCATAGGGATAACATCCTTACTATTAAGAATGGGAAATTCACTGGCATCCTGTCATGATCCAGATTTAAACTCTAATCAACAGCCAGGTCATAATTTTCTCACCCAGGCCAAGTTTAAGGGATTAAAAAATATTTTTTTTTAAAGCTTAACTTCTGCATCACAGCAAACAAACAAGCAAAGCAGGCAAAACATTTGCTGTTCTCTGTAAGGATTAACCAATAAAACTGTCAAGTTCTGCCTCCCGTGGGGAAGTTAAAAAGCTGCTCTTTTGCTTCTAAGCAGTCAGATGTGTTGCCTAAACAGACAATGCAGAAAGAGCAGTAAGGACATCTGTGCCATATCTACATAAACAGGCTCCTTGTAGTCACCCACACAATTCTGTCCAGCAGAGACAGCACGCCAATACACACTGAAGAGAAACTACGCCTGCATTACATCATCATATATCCTTTCCACCTGTGTAAGTAATGTATGTCCTAAAAAAAAAAAACAACTCACAAAGATTGCACTTTTAAGCAGCCTATAAATGCATAATCACCTCCTTGAGTAGCTCCTGCACATGTTCATCCCCTGAAAGATTTCTTTCTAGCTTCTTTTCCAAGGAAGATACTTTTTCCTGCAGCTGTTCAGTAAGTTGATTTCTCTCAGCAAATTCAAAAGCCATCTGTGAGAACAAGAAATCACAGAATGTTTTTTTGTAGTGAAGCTTTTGGGTAATCCATTGTGGTTTGACTTTAAAAAGTGCCACTAGAAAGAGCAAAGTCTTATTTGAAAAGACAATACGATCCCAAAACACTTTCGACACCAGATTTCGAACGCACAGCGCATTACCCAAGTGTACACCTTTACAACAGCCACCAGCAGATGCAGCTGAAAACACTTAACCTTTTGCTTGTGTTGTTCGTATTCCACCTTCAGAGATTCATGCTCCACCTGTAACATTTCCAGTCTCTTCTCACAACCAGAACCAGCAACTCGAGCCTAAAAAATTTGAGAAATTACTTACTTTGAAACTCAGATTCCCAAAAACACGTAATTGATATCTAATCTAGCTTCTGCAGACAAGGAGCTCTTTGAATCAAATCTCACTTAACTCAAACTTACATTTTGCAAGTCTACAGAAAGCTGCTGAATGACAGTTTGTAGCTCCTGTTCTCTTAATTCCAGAGCAGTGATCTTATTTTCTGCATTTGTCTCAGCTGTCATTAGTTCATCTCTTCACAGAAAGAGAATAAAAAAAGTGACATAACTGTTTCAGAAAAATAATCTTTAGCAGGTAATTCTGCTTCTTAAGAAAATGGACTAGGCAACATCAACAAGGTTTTCTTGTCCTAAAACCAGCCATTGCTTGATTATACACTTTCCAAAAAGTGACAGTTAAGCATTCAAACTATGAAAAAAAACCCGAAATCGTAACAAGCTTATAAAATCCTAAACAAGTCCTACTTTAATTGGCTTGAAAAGAAATACAAACATGGCACTCACATGGGCACACCTGAAGCAATTATTCACTCAGCTCACTACATACATAAACTGTTCCAAAATGACAGAGCTGGGCACGAAGTAAAAGTACAGGGGAAATGAATACACCACTCTTCATGGAACACCACATCCATACCTCTGGGCCTGCAGCTCCAAAAACTGCTGCTGCAGCTCCTGAAGATCCTTCCTTAGGCCTGATGCCTCGCTGCTTGCATCCTGAAGCGCCTCCTTAGTGCGGGTGAGCTCTCGAGTGCACACCTCCAGTTCCTGCTCTGTTTTGCTCAGAGACTCTTCCTTTTTCAAAAGCTGAACATTAGAACATTATCTTTGACAATACAGATGACCTGATAATACTGATAAAATCTTCACATGGAAACTTGTTTCTTTTATTAAGTTATGAGCTCAACTAAATGAAACAATATATCATTCCCAGAAGAGTCACTGTTGGAATAAACTATGTAATGCTGTATGCACGTACCTCCTGTTGGGGTTTTGACACTGACCAAGACTGTATACAAGCATTAACGCAAAAGAAATTAATGCAGAGATTTCTGTATTATAACAGAAATCCTGTCTTTTAGGAAAGAAAAAAAAACAAGTTTAAAATAACCTTACCATGTGTTTAACTTTGGCAATTTCCTGCTGTTGAAAGCCCTCCAGTTCATCGATTTCATCTCTTTTTTGAAAGAGGTTCAAACTCTGCTCCTTCACTTCTTGCAACTGCTTTTCAAGCATTTTTTTTTCCTGATAAACGAACAAAAACAAAAGGAATCCAAGAATATCTGTATGCTCATTTCAAATCAATGGGCATTTAGTTCAGCTCTCTGGGAAAGGAATCTTGTCTTGCAGCCATAAAGCTCTCTGATGGTGCTACATGTAGAACTAGAAATTCTTGCAGTAGGCAACGTGGAGGAAACTACCAACCTTCAAAAATCTCAAAAAAAAATCCATATTCATTACAATGCAGCCAATGATCACCTAAGCGAACTCTTACAAATGGACTGCAAATAGCAGCATGGTTAATGCCTTCACAATCAGAGATGCTTTAAAATGGACTGAGCTAAACAGCTGGAACAACTACAAGACTGAAATCCTGTGTTAAAAAAATGAAACTATTTGTTAGGGATTTATTTCATGAAACAGATGACCTACTGCAGGACCTCAACCAAAGTCACTCCCTCTTTCTGCATCCCAGCTGCCTCCTCTGTAATAAAGAAAACTACTGTTCCACCTTACAGAACATCTTCCTCATCATAACCCATCATTCTTTACTTCCCCACTGAAAAATAATTCCAGAAATATCTCCTGAAGCATTTGGGCTGGTAACAAAAGCAAATCTCAGGCCTCTCCCACTGAAGGAAGATCAAATAATAACAAGAGCTGAACAGAGCTGAGCTGTAGGAAGTGTGAAGGCTGGAATTTAAAAATACCCACTCAAGAAACCCCCAAGCCCAAAGGTTCATTACCTTTTCAACTTGAGTCAGTTTTTCCATCCACTCCTGAACAAGAAAGGAGAGAAAAAAATCAAAATCAACTTGTAGACTTTCAAGGACATTATGGTAAAAAGAAATAATCATAGTGATACTAAGTTGTGGTAATGATTAAAAAAAATACCAGCAAAAGAAAAGTACGAGCAGTGTTTTACTATATAAACACTGAGGAATCACTCATGCTACCTGAATACATAAGCTTTATACAAGTAAAATAAAAGCGGCAACAGGTCTACTGCAATCGAGTCTTACCAAACGCAAGCTTAACCCTTCATTAGAAATCGTTGTGGGCTCTCCTTAAGAACAGCCAGAACAACGACAAGCCCTACCCCATTTCTGGTATTTGAACTCAGTTCTCCCTTCTTCCCTCCACGTTGGCACACTAAGCAGACACAACGCTGAACAGGTATTGTAATTAATGGTGACATCCGCTTAAATCCCGAAGGTCACGCACTTGGATCGCCACAGTCCCGCTGAGCTGCTGAAGCTCTGTTACCTGGTCCTTCTTCTCCAAGGCCAAAGCCATCCCTTCTGCCATCTTGGCTCGACTGGCCTGGTGAGCTTCATTCTGCTCCTGGAACTTCCTCATGGAGGCTACCAACACAGAATCACCAGCTATATTAGAAACTCATATTTTAAAACGGTTTCTCACTTTCCTATAAGTTATTTATAACTTTAAAGAGCTGCTTCTGCAGGTAATTAGCCCCATCTCGACTCTCCAGCACCAACACTGTGCAGCTCACTACCCCACACTGCCCGGGCGCTGGGCAACCGCCAGAAACAACAGAGGACACATGCCCGGGCGCTGGGCAACCGCCAGAAACAGAGGACACACAGACTGCTCCTCCACGGATTGTAACAACGCTGTAGGTTTCAGAAAGGTCTCTCCTGCACATTAGCACCAAATCTGGCAAAAGGAGTATAACAACAACTCTGTTCAACAGCCAACATCCTGCTGCTTTTACACTGTAAATGAGGCAAGAACTCATGTCCTTGCAACCTGGAGGGGCACAGTTTGAAAGGAAACGATTAAAACATCTGGACATCAAACCAGTTTCCTTCCAACCACAACAGTTTTCGACTTAAAAAAAAAATAAAAAGGAAAAATAAAAGTACGTACAATCCTGATGCTTTTCTAATGCATTTTCAAGCTTCTCTTTTATCTTCCGCAAGTTTCGGATCTGATCAGCGTAATCTTGTGTGAGGAGGGAGGAGCACAGACCAGGAATGAACAGACATTGGGGAAGGAAAATTTTTAGGAGGGGGGAAAAAAAAAAAGAAAAAAGAAAAAAGGGATGAGTGGAAAATGACAATGATTTTCTCAACCAGAAAATCATTCATGCTAAGGAAAACTTCGGTGACCATAACAATGAACACAAGCAAATAGTTCTGCACTGCCCAGAGGGTAAATGGTTGGTACAAACAGGAGGACCTGTCCGAGGCGTGCTAGTTACAGAGAAAAGGGCAGTACCAGAGAATGAAGAACTACCCCCACTTTTTACTTCATTCAAGAACAGTGACCTATTCAATTCTGTTTAGGAAAGGCCTCTCAGTGGAGGATGTGAGGACGGACGGGGCCATTCACAGACGCCCGTGCTGCTGGTGGTGCACGTCCTGCAGCGGCCATGAGGCTGAGCCCTGGCTGGTGCTCCCGCTCAGCCAGCAACCTCGCACTCCTGCCCTGCCTTCCCAGCTGAACCGACAGGGCAGGTGGATTTAAAAAATGAAACAAAACACACACAGCTTGGAGAAGTTTACGTACAGTGGAAAGGAGGATTTGCTTACTGATCGGGCTGCCTACGTGAGTCGATACTGAGCGCCTCGCTCTCTCGTACTCAGCCCCACCCAGCACTTCTAAGTTTACCTTATGCAAACAGGTGAACACTCTGCCCTTTCAAATTACAACAGGAAATCATCTTTGAATCCTTTATTTTCTTGAACTGGAGCCTGGTAAGTCTCTAGAATAAATTAAAGTAATCCTAAACTGGCGATAACCTTTCCTCATTACCCAAGGCCTTCTACGAGCTTCGAACAGCAGCAGCATAACACAGTTTAGCCCAGTCTCTGATCTGCTCCACACAGCACGGATGGAAAGCAGAGCCCTCGCTGCAGCTTTACAGAACAAGGCATTGTCTTAGAAACAAGAAAAGCTCCAAGACTCATTAATGTTGAATCCTTTGCTTTTTCTTCATTTTAAAGTTCACCTCTTTAAGGATGACATTGTGCTACTGTTAAGATCAGAAAGCCTAAATCCTAAAGGAAACCAGCCATTACCTACACAGAATAAGTACAATAAAAGCAGGAAAAGACACTCTTTGAAGCATGGGGACAGAAAGCTATCCCAGCTGCTCAAAAGCATCACATAAATGTGTTGTGAAGCTAGCAAAAAAAGAGGCAGTTGTCTCTATTAAAAAAATCAGTTATACTGGATGCTACCTAGTGACAATCAACAAGGTTGTTACAAATCAGTTTAAAAAACCCCAAACCCTAAGCCCCTGTATTTTTAATAAATTTTAAATTAAAGGAAAATATTTCCTAAAGTAACAGAGTTTTATGTGTCAAGATACATACCAGACAGCTTGACCTCCAGCTTTCTTATTTGTTCATTTCTTCTGAACAACTGGGATGAAAGATCCTCTCTAGAGCTGCTTCCATCAGAAGCCTTCGTAGAAAAACAACACTCAAGTAACTCACAAAACTTAGAAAAGGGATCTTGCCATATACTAACACTCTGATAATAAAAACTATCCCACCTAGGAATAATGCTCCAGTTTTTCATGTACAAAGGAAAGTTTTACTAGCACAGCAGAACGCATGAAAAATGCTGAAGAGGAAAAACAGTAAGGGCTCAGATAGCCAGCCCTGCAGGCTGGCCTGTTCCATGAAACACAATACTTCTGAAAGAAGCTATTGCTCAAAACTATCTGTTCAAACTGAAAAAATAATGTTCTACAGGGTCAAAGCAAAAGTCTTTTGGAAAACTAAGTAAGCAGAAAAGAAACAGTAAGGCTCCTCACATGGGATGAGCTTGCTCAGGCACTAATGCAGTGCAACGGTCTCTCCATGCAAAATCTGCCGCATAATCAACTTGTAATTCTCTAGGGAGTCTTTTGCTCCATAAAAATCAATATTAACAGCAGTTAAATGAATCTTGCTAAAACAGCTAATTCTTAGAAGTCTTCTGAAAACCACTGAAGAGTTAAGCTACCATCATCATTTGTTTTCTGTTCTCTAAACTTACAAGACAGCAATTTCTACATGAGAATTTAAGTACAATAAAATGTCAGAAAAACACAAGATTAATGTATTTCCACTGTAAAATGTATTTAAACATTAGGAGTTCCAACTTTCTCCTTAACAGAACTGGAAGTTCAGCTGAGCTTCAGAAAAAAAATGAGTTAAAACTCAACCGGGTAAATAACTTCTCCATTTTGCAAACAGCAAAACAGAATTGTGAAGCGGCTTGCTGCAACAGAGCAGGTACTGTTGGCTCAAGCAGCGGTGCGACAGCGTGTCTTAATCCGGGTTTTGAAAAATATGCGCTACCGGCTTTCATTTAACCCATACGCTCCTGGAAGTACACAGCTTGTTTAAACCACGCTTCATAATGAAGGAGCGTTTAAACCAGACATTGAAGGAACTACAAGAGTTTTGAGTGAACAAAACTGAATACATGTCGCATAAACAAAATGCTTGAGTAGGAAGAGTGTGAGGAAGCCAAGAGGTAAACACAGGTCCACAGCAAGATCGCACCCAAACAGTATCTGGTTTGCTTTCCTACTGCTTCAGTAATTAATTTTACAAATTGGTATCGTACAGTTACTACAACTTTATTCAATGTTTTATGTCAGTTTAACAATGCTCTGTATTGAGACAGCTTTGTAACTCCTGCTTGCGTGGGGATGCAAGCCTGCTAGTAACTACTAAGGTTAACATACAAACATTTTCTCTTGATTATTTAAATTTATTCAAGCTAACGATTCATTTGGGCATAAGACATGCACCTACAAAGACACCGCAATACGTATTCCACTCATACACCAGACTCAGACAGGTTGTCTGTACAGCCATAACAGAAATGCTGCAAAAGAAACCAACGTTCAAAGCAAGGTGTAACTCACAAAGTCGTCGCCGGAGTCTGCTCCCACGGACGTAATCGACTCCTTACTGACGGATCTGGGGATCCTGGCAGCTCCTCCTGGTCTGGGAGCAATCGCTGCCTCTTCCGCTATCTTCTTCTTCAACTTTGCAAACATTTTACTGCTCTACAGCACTGAAACAGCCAAGTACTTCGCAAAGCCACCACCTCCAACACGGTTAATACACTGACACTCTGCTCAAAGCTTCCAGCTGCCGGCATTTAATTTTTTGCTTCATCCACTCAGTGTTATTGCATTTCCAGTTCCACTAAAACCTTCATGGCCTAACAGAACCTGCAGATTAAAGAGAGATGGTTTCACACTAAAAACTTCCACCCGTATTAACCATTTAAAGATAACCAAATGCCTTTGAATGCCGTATCTGTTATAAGCTGTTTTTAAAAGAGTCACCCAGAGCAGAACCCTTTAAAAAACCCCAAACCAACCCGTGACAGGGCTCAGCGGCACGGCTGGAACCCCGGAGAC